CAGCACCCATATGTTGACTCATAACCATCCACAACTCCAGTTCCAAGGATCCAACACCCTCTTCCAGCCTCCAGGACACTGTATGCAAATGGTGCACAGCCATACACTCGCACACAAAATAATAATTTTTTAAAAAAACATTAACTCTACTGTAGTGAGAATTCTGGAATTTTGTGTATATATGGGCTTTTCCACCTGCGTCCAAGTTCCCCAAAATAATGACTCCGAGACTCTTATATATGAATAAATGCCTAGGCCAATAGTTTTGGCTCCATTCCACCAGCTCATAACTCAATTATTCCTTTTAATTAACCTAAGTCGTGCCACATGGCTAGTTACCATCTTCCTGAGGGTTCAGGGTGAATCCTCACCATGCCTGACTCTATCTCAGAATCCTGTCTCTGTACCAGAACTTCCATCTCCCTATTTCCTGCCTAAGCTGATAAGACAACAGCATTTCACTGACAGGTGATACTCCCATACATTGCACACAAGTTTCTCTATACAATTTTGGTTTCTAAAAAAAAATCACAGAAATATTATATGAATGTGTTTTTGCTTTAATCCCAGGTGTGGGGTTAAGGGGCTGCTTTGGGCTGTCTGCAGCAGCTGACTATGATTTGCCATGTACTCTAGCAGAGGCATGGTTTTGCCAGCTGTAGATAGTTTCTGTGATTGTGTGACATTTGGAATTCTGGGTAGTTCTCAGAGGATTATATAAATGCTAGGGCCCCTAGAGGCAGGGTTGGTAGTTGTTGGTCATTCAAGGGGGTGGCTGAGGTTTGTCAGTAGTCATGCTCAAGTAAGAAACAAGAGGAAAAATTAGATTCAGGGATTCTCTCTCTCTCTCTCTCTTTCTCTCTCTCTCTCTCTTCTCTCTCTCTCTGTCCTTTTTTCTGTCCTTTCTAGTGATAGGAGGTAAAACCAAGGCGATAAAGGGTGGGTGGGAAAAAGAAGAACCCACAAAGAAGCAAAGGGCAGCTACACTTTATGGAACTGGACAATGGAGTTGTATGCCTTTAATCTCAGCACTTGGGAGACTGAAGCAAGTGGATCTCTGAGTTCCAGGCCAGCCTGGTCTACAGGATGAGTGCCAGGATAGCTAAGGCTGTCTTGAAAAACCAAAAGCAAAGGGGAAAAAAAAAGACGTTTTTGCAAATATGTTTCTGTTAAGATTTGTTCACTAGCAGGGTTGGAGAGATGAATCTGTAGTCAAGAGTACTTTCTGCTCTTCCAGAGGATCTAGGTTCAATTCCCAGCCCCCACCCACATGACTGCTCACAACTGTTTTTAGCTCTATTTCCACGGGATTCAATACCCTCTTCTGACCTTCATGGTCCCTGAAAGCACTAACTACACAGACATACATACATGCAGGCAAAATACCCATACACATAGAATATTATTATTTTTTTGTTTTGTTTTGTTTTTTCGAGACAGGGTTTCTCTGCATAGCCCTGGCTGTCCTGGAACTCACTCTGTAGACCAGGCTGGCCTCGAACTCAGAAATCCGCCTGTCTCTGCCTCCCAAGTGCTGGGATTAAAGGCGTGCGCCACCACTGCCCAGCCACATAGAATATTAAAATAAAAATAATTTTGTTAAAAACAAAGATTTGTCCACTAAGATTAGCAGCAATTGGCTGCTATTCCCATAACAAAATGAGACAGCCCTGACTCACAGTTGCCCACTGGGCCCATTCCCATATCAAAGAGCATGCCATTATGGGACAGTTCAAAGGGACAGAACTGGATAAGGGCCACCATTAAGTCCTGGCTCTCTTATCCAGAAGATCATAATTCTGCTAGGCAGGAAAGATGACCTAGTTAACAATTGTCTGGGAAAAGAAGTCTGGTATGTCTAGACATAACTATGATAATAGTTTTACATTATAAATCTCTCCACTTGTCCAAACAACCAATCCTTGGAACTTCTGTTGCTGCAAAACACGTTTAATTTTAAGCTCAAAGTATTACTTGAGGCCATGAAACTATATTAGCTGGCTGGATTTATGCATTACCCAGAACAAGTCATACACTATTACTAAAAAGTTTTTCCTTATTATCTCTAAGTGCTAGCTAGAGTAGTTTTTCACTGGGAAGGCATATTAATTTCAAAACACCCAGAATCATATAAAAATTTTCTCTAGTGAAAAAAGTCATGGTTGGAAAAGGTTAAGTAACCTTGACCTTGTCTAGGCTCCATAGACAACTTTTGCTGGATGTCCTTTATAGCTTTTCTTTCTGATCAGGAGTCAGTCCAGCTGATTTATTCACTGCCCTTGATGCTTGTTTAATATCTCTCTCTCTCTCTCTCTCTCTCTCTCTCTCTCTCTCTCTCTCTCTCTCTCTCGTAGTTAAGTCCAACAACTGTAGTCTTCAATCTGAGTTTACCTATTCCCTCATGCTTAGAATCAAGTTGTTTTGTTTTGTTCTTTTGAGACAAGGGTATACAGTTTTGACACAGAAACTATATTGTGTCCTCAGTATCTGGTGCTAGAAATCTGTGAATTCAGTCAATTGTACCAGCATCTGTCACGTTAGTCCTTACCTCCTGATTAAGATACCATTGAAGTATAGTGCATAGCACCCTCGGAAGAGGAAAGGAGATGGGGGTCTGTTATAACATCACAAACCCAATAGTTCTGAAGCCAAGATAGCCCAAGAACAAGACAAGATGCTGTGGTGTTGGAAGCGAGCAGTTTCCATGATCTTACTAGCTATGGTGGGCAATTGGGAAATAGATGCTATCTTGAACAAGATGTTTAAGCAACACTTGTCCATGGCCTTGGCATTTTGAGATGATATAAATGTTCTGTCCCTCATCAGATTCATGCCCACTAATTTGAATATTCACTGGTGATTTTCTGACTTTCCCATCCCTTCCACATTTGCTTGGCATTTTACTTTAAGAAGAGCTTTCTGAACTAGGTGTTGGAGAACATACCTTTAATCTCAGCACTCAGGAGACAGAGGCAGGGAGATCTCTGTGAGTTGAAGAGCAGCCTGATCTCCAAAGAGAATTTCAGAACAGCCAGAGCTATTACATGGAAAAGCCCTGTCTTAACAAACAAACAAACAAACAAACAAACAAACAGCTTTCCTAACTGGGCATAGTGATTTACACCTGTAACTCTGGTGCTCTGGAGCCCAAGACAGGATGTTTGCAATGAGTTCCTGCCAGCCTAAACTATAAAATAAAATTGTGTCTGAAATAAAAAATAAAGCCACCCTGGCTTACAGGGCAAGTTGCAGGAGAGCCAGGGCTACATAGAAAACCCCTGTCTTGAAAAACAAAACAAAATAAAACAAAACAAATAAGTAAAAATAAAAGTGTGTACCACATCACCATGCCCAGCTTCCTAAAGGTTTTCTCAGAACATAGAAAGCCATAAATCAAGACATTTCTGAGTACATTGGTGGAAATGTCAAAAAGGCGTTTACAGCAAGATGCGGGGAGCTCTCCCTCCTACGGGCCTCAGATGCTATCTGATGATATTTTTAGTTTTGGGGTTGGTGGAACCTTTATGGTTTTCCTATGTTCTCATAAGTTCCCTGTAATAATGACACTGTCTAATAACTGAATGTGAAATTAAAAGATTTGTATTGTATGCCCCATCTGTAAAAAATTAAGTTTTTCCTCCTGACCACTTAACTCCCAGAAATATAATGACTCTGAGACTAATTATTTGTATATAATTAAATTTTTATATATTATATATTTATATATACATTAAATGCCTAGGCCATAAGCATTGGTTTGTTCTCTGACTTGCTCTTATTACCCCTTTATTCTAACCTGGGTTCAGCTACGTGGTTGGTTTCCTCTCTTTGTTTTTGTTTTTGTTTTACATCTGTCTCCTCAGCATTCCAGGGTGAATCTCCCCCTTGCCTTTCACTATTTCCTAGAATCCTCTCTATCCATGCTGGATGTCTCACCACCTATTTCCTGTCTCAGCTCATCAGCCATAAGCTTTTTTTTTATTAACAGGTGATGCTTATAAGAGATTCTCTCTACAAAGCTAGTGGACTACTAAGTTAATTCCAAAATGTTCCTGTTATTCACAGGTTGTTAGTTCTAACATAGAGGTGGGCAAGGAATAGCTGGCTATTCAGGAGCTAAAGCTAGTTTGAGGTAAAGTAATCTGGACTAGCAATGTTCCAACATCTCTACATCAATGCAGTTGAGCCTTTGCAGGTATACATAGCTTCTTTTTTTGTTTTGTTTTGTTTTTCGAGACAGGGTTTGTCTGTGTAGCCCTGGCTGTCCTGGAACTAACTCTGTAGACCAGGCTAGCCTCGAACTCTCGAACTCAGAAATCCACCTGCCTCTGCCTCCCAAGTGCTGGGATTAAAGGCGTGCACCACCACTGCCCGGCAACATAGCTTCCTTCTAGGAGTTCTCATTGACATTTGCATGATAAGCAACCATTTTACCAACTGAGCCTTATTTATAGACTGGACTGTTCTAAAACTATGAGCCAAAAGTCACGCTTTGAAGTATCTTATTACAGAGATAAGAAAATAAACTAATATGAAAGACAAATGTAAGCCGGGCGGTGGTGGCGCACGCCTTTAATCCCAGCACTTGGGAGGAAGAGGCAGGTGGATTTCTGAGTTCGAGAGTTCGAGGCTAGCCTGGTCTACAGAGTAAGTTCCAGGACAGCCAGGGCTACACAGAGAAACCCTGTCTCGAAAAACCAAACCAAACCAAACCAAAAAAAAAAAAAAAGACAAATGTAAACAGAACATCTTCACATAAAGCAGGGGTAAGAGGGAGCCCCCACGGTGAACAGACAGAGGTGGAACCATGAGGTTTTGGTCAAATAAGTTGCCAAGACTCAACCCCACCAGTATGTGGAAGAGGCTGGAGCTAAGAAGTTATACTCCTCAGGACAGAAAACAAGTCACCATCGACATCTTCTCTTTCCAAGAAGAAGTGGTCTCTCCAAAGAAGGAGGAGTCAGGAATCTTCTTGTCCTATTATGGTCAAAAAAGCTTAGCCTCACAGAAGGAAACTTAGGGATGGTAGGGACTGTGGCTCTCAGTGAGCCAGCAGGTTAACTGCACCACTACCAACAACCATGAATTTACTTCAGGAATTCAGGGACTAATGGGGCAGGGGCTTTAATAATGGGGTTCTGACTAACACCCAAAGAGACCTCACCCCTGAACAGAAATTCTTTGCAACTTATGTAGATTTTGAGCTATAACATTCCATGTACACTGTCATCTGTAACTCTCATTTAGGTTCCAGCACCAACTTACATTTTAAGCATTTAAACATGTTTTACAGAGCCAGAAACTGCGAATGTGACCATTTTGAACAGATGGGAGATTTACACAGCAAAGAAATATTGTCACAGTTATTTCAAAATAACCCTGTTTGTTTTTTAAGTTGTTAACCATTGTTATCTTACCTGCCTGGCAGAATTATAATCCTTTTGTTAGGTAAACAAGATATAATTCGTAGCATTCTTTGTAAATAAATCTTAACAAAAAAATATTCTCTATAACCAAACACTTAATTTTGTTAGAAGTACAGCCCTACGTTTCTTATCTTTCTGTAGTTTCTAAGAAGATTGGTTAGTACAGGGAACCAGGCAGTGCCTGGGGCAGACACCCTATGGAATCAGGGCCATTTCACCCCACTGTGTCATCAAGGTAGAGTTGGCTCCTCGGCTCAGCAAAAGCTCCATAGTGGTGCTCTGGCTACACTCCACAGCAAGGTGCAGAGGAGTCTTGTGGAGCCAGCCAGCTGCATTGACTTGTGCACCACTGTCCAGGAGATGGCTGACAACTTCTACATGGCCTTCCCGAGCAGCATAGTGCAGAGGTGTGAGGCCCAGCGAGTCTCGAGCATCTACTTCAATGCCCTTAGCCACCAGCAGCTGTGTAACACATAGATATCCACCAGTAGCAGCCCTGTGGAGTGCAGAGCGGTTGTTCCTGTCCCTGATATTTGGGTCTGCCCCATGGCCCAGCAGCACCTCAATGTCCTGGAAAAGAAAAGGAAGAAGATAAGAGAAATTACCTCTGTCCAGAGGGGTGAGGATCTGGGCCTGGTGTCTACCTCATTCAATTCCTACAGCCTCTTTTTCTTTTAGGAATGAATGGGATGGAATCTAAAGCAGCCCCAGATTTTTAGATCAAATTCAACACTGTGCAAAAGCTGCCATCCTCTGGCGCCTTCTGGGCCTAACTAATCTTGAGCTCCAGTCAAGTGTTTTACATAGATGTTTGTTGCCTGGCATGGTGGCCCATACCTTAAATCCCAGTACTCAGGAGACAGAAGCTGAAGTATCTATGGGAGTTTAGGAGCAATTTAGTCGATATAGAGAGCTTCAAGCCAGCCAAGGCTATATAGTAAAATATTGTCTCAGAAAACCTACCTATCTATCTACCCATCCATTCACCTAATACATTGTTATGGACCACCAGAACAAAGTGAGCTTGTCAGGTATGGGAGACCTCTCCAGGTACGGTTGAGCTGGGAAGTTATATAAGGAAGGCCCAACTGGAAACAGGCTCAGCTCCCAAACCTTCCACTCTCCACCCTCTACCCTGCCCACCTGTGCTTCAGCATCTTTCCACTTTGTTCCTCTCCTCCCCAAGAGCTTATGGAAGTTAAGTGTAGGGGATGAGCGCAGTCATTGCAGATGAAGGCTGGACCTACTTGGTGGTGGCCTAAGCCAGCTGCCAGGCCAAGTGCAGTGGCTCCCGTACTGTCCAGGGTGTCCACATTTGCCCCCAGTGTCAGGAGAAGCCGCAACGCTGACGCACTTCCAGCTATTGCCGATACCAGAAGAGCGCCATCCAGGTCTACGCTGCCTCCAGCAGTCAGCAGCTCCAGCACCGGCAGTTGCCCACAAGCCGCTGCCCAGTGTGTGGCAGTCCAACCTCTTATATCTTTCACATCAGGGCCTGAACCTGGTGCCGCCATGAGGCATGTAACCAGTAGCGTGCGGCCCAGAGCAGCTGCCCCGTGCAGGGGCGTGAGACCCGTTTGAGAGCATGCAGATGCTGAGGCCCCACGTCGCAGCAATAGTTCTGCCACGTTCGAGTGCCCATGCCAGGCAGCCTCGTGCAATGGTGTGCGCCCCGTGTGGTCAACTGCACCTACCAGGGCCCCACGCTGCAACAGTAGGCGAACCAGTGGTGCGTGCCCTCGCATTACAGCCAGATGGAGCGGAGTCCTACCTGTGTGATCCCTGTGGGGTGCGAAAGAAGTCATAATGCTGCCCAGACGTTCAACCCCAGCAAGAGAAAGAGTCTAGAGCTAATTAGTCATGAGGCTCACCTCTCCTCCACATTGGCACCTTGCCTCAGCAGCTGCATCACCAGGCTGGGAGCACCCCACCACACTGTCTGGAACAGAGTACTCCAGCCCTGAGATGTAAGCGGTCTTTCTGTCTTTTCTGCTGGGGCCTCCTCCTCCTCCCAGACCAGCTTCATCCACTGTAGTTCCTGCTCTAGCTTGTTGGAATCCATCTGGGAGAGAGCAGAGACCTGCATCCACCCTAAGGCCCCTGGCTGGTTTACCTTACCTGTCCCTTGTCACCATGTCACCACCCCACCAGGAGGACTCAAATGTCCTTTAGCCTTCTGACAGGCTGTGGACTCCAATTACCTCCAGAGGGAGCTGGCATAGGAGCTCTATCTTCTGGTTGAGTCTGGTTCTCTCTGTTTTATTTCTAGTCTAGTCTCATTCTGGGAGGCTAGATTGGGAAGTAAGACAGGGCAAAGGGCTGCTGCTTCCTTTTGCACCATGTGAAGGTCACTAGACACTGTTCATTTAGTAACCTGAAGGGAGTCTCTGCCTGCCAGGTAGCACCCCTAGCCTGAGCACTTTGGTCCCTTGCTGACTACTAAAGCTCTTGGCCACACTCCCAGGAAGAAAGGCCAGGACAGGTTGGGAAGGACAAGCAGGAACATGCCCTGGATGACAGCCCCTCCTTCCTCCCTCCTGCCAAATAACACAAACTTTAATATGTTCTGACTTGCCCCCAGGTATCCTGAGACTACCTGCCCCCACTCCAACTTGAGATTGGAACTACCTCTCTTCCTGTTCAGATTGTTGGGGAGGGGACACAGTAAGGTTCTATCCTTTTTTCTAATAAGATGCTTTGAAAGAGGAAAAGGTTCACCACAGACACCTGAACAGTGGGGTTGGAAACTCCTGGAGAACAGGTTAAGACAGGCTAGTGCAGGCCATGAGAGGGAAGAGGTGTCTGGGTGGGAAGGGGCAGAAGCAAGCAAGGATGTCTCTGGAACAGGAGCTGTTAAGTACTTATGTCTAGAGGTAGAAAGGGGGCCTGTAGGAACAAGGCATTCATGTGGACACTTGACTCTGGTCCTGGAACAGAAAGAACAGGGTTACTCACCTGGCCAGATTCTAGTTGTGGGCAGCAGGGCCTTGCTAGTGGATCCCAATGGCTAAGCCCTGTAGTTCTCTGGAGGAGACTGTCCAACAATGAGTAGCACAACATGGAGCTGTCTGTTTTTATCTCCAGCTATCCAAAGAAAGAAGTGTCTCAAGAGACATATTTGGACTCTCTTCATCCTGGAAACAGCAGCCCTTCCAAGTGGTACAAGGAAGAGTCTCCAAACAACTGTGTGAAGGGCCCCTGTCTATCTCTGAGGCCCTGCCCAATGGAGCTCACCATTCCATTTAGATGCCGCTTCCCAAGGGTTTAGCAGCCAAAGTGAAGCAATCTTTACCTCTGACCCTGTTGTTTTCATCTTAGCACTCAACAGAAGTCTGTCCATTATTCTTTTTTGTTAGCTTGGTTTTGTTATTACACACCTTTAATCCCCCAGCACCTGAGAACAATTATTTATTTTATTTATTTGTGCATGGTTGGGAGTTTCGTGCCCAGTGGAGGTCTGATGACAACAACTTGCAGAAGTCAGTTTTCTCCTACCAGGTTATAAACAAGCTTACCTGCAAACACCCCTGCCTTTTGGACCATTTCACTGGCCAAAGTCTGTTCATTTTAAATGTCTTTCTCTCCTAAAGGAAGATGCTCCTTAAAAGCATGTTTCATAGGCTAGTCAACAAGAAGCCAAGATCTAGACCGACACAAACATTCATAGTGGGACGTGTAGTGAGAATTTTCATTCCTTTTTTTTTTTTTTTTTGGTTTTTCGAGACAGGGTTTCTCTGTGTAGCCCTGGCTGTCCTGGAACTCACTCTGTAGACCAGGCTGGCCTCGAACTCAGAAATCCACCTGCCTCTGCCTCCCAAGTGCTGGGATTAAAGGCGTGCACCACCACTGCCTGGCTTTCATTCCTTTAAAAAACACAGAAATATATAATTTCATTTTAACCCCAGGTGTGAGATATGGGGCTGCTTCACATTTGCCTTGTGCTCTAACAGGGGTGTGATTTTGCCAGCTGCAGATAGTTTCTGCAATTGTGTGACATTTGGAATTCTGGGAACTTTTCAGAGGGTATGTAAATGCTAGCTATGGCTCTGAGAGGCATTGTTGTTGGTGGTTGTTGGTGGGTTGTTGTTTGTTATTTGTTAAGTAGTTGTCTTAGGGTTTTACTGCTGTGAACAGATCAAGGTAACTCTTATAAGGACAACAATTAATTGGGGCTGGCATACAAGTTCTGTCCATTATCATCACAGTAGGAAGCATGGCAGCATCCAGGCAGCCATAGCGCTGGAGAAGAACCAAGAGTTCTACATCTTCATCTGAAGGCTGCTAGCAGAATACTGACTTCCAGGCAGTTAGGATGAGGGTCTTAAAGTCCACATCCACAGTGACACACCCACTCCAACAAGGCCACACCTTCTAATAGTGCCACTCCCTGGGCAGAGCACATACCATCTCTTTTTCTTTTTTCTTTCTTTTCTTTTTTCTTTCTTTTTCTTTTCTTTTTTTTTGTTTTTTTTTTGTTTTTGTTTTTGGTTTTGGTTTTGGTTTTTCGAGACAGGGTTTCTCTGTGTAGCCCTGGCTGTCCTGGAACTCACTCTGTAGACCAGGCTGGCCTCGTACTCAGAAATCCGCCTGCCTCTGCCTCCCAAGTGCTGGGATTAAAGGCATGTGCCACCCCTGCCTGGCACAAACCATCTCAGTAGTCATTCTTAAAGAAAAAAACAAGAAGAAATTAGATATCTTGATGGTGAAGATCAAACTTGCCCCAACAATTCGATGCCCCTAATCAACAGAAAGTAATCTAATGATAATGTTTACTTCCTTTCTCCTCTATCCTTCTTTCTCTCTTATCTAGTGTTGGAGGGTTGGAAGGGTGGGAGAATGGTGGAGAAGGGTGAGAAAAAAAAAGAACCCACAAAGTAGCCAAAGTCCAACTACAGGGATAAGCTGAGGCTCCAGCTCCCAGCACCCTCGTTCCACACAGGATGATATAGGAGTGAGTCAAGCACCCTGTTGCTAAAAAGCCATTTTCATGATGCAGCTTAATGGGGGTGGGGAGATGGGAGGATGGAAAGACCCCTATTACACTGGATCTAGGGAGACTGTAAATCTGTTCACTCCAGCTTCCCTCATCCCTTCACAGGATCCCTGTCTTCCTAGAACTTCTGTGGCCTCTTCCATCAGCTGTAGCTTTCCTTGTTGGAGCCATGCCAAACTATCAGGACAGCAGCATAGTTCACAAGCATACACAGGTCTTCTTTTGAAACCAAAAAGCCTAAAACAATTCCTGGAAAAATTCTGTAGTTTGAGTGTGTCTTCCCACAGTTCACATTTAAAACGTCTTTTCTTTCCCTTTTGTATTAATTAACTTTTTAATTTACTTTTATCCTGAAAAACTTATTTTCCAAAAGTATTTGTTGATGATATTAGCAGGTGGGGGCCTTTGAGAACTAAGGTTAAATTCAGCCCATAAAAATGGGGCCCTAGCATTTAGGGCCCCACTTACACATGACTTATACATTCACACAGATGCACATAAATAAATCGTGTGTGTGTGTGTGCACTTCAATGTGACTACCCTCAGAGACAAAAGTACATCAGATCCCCTGGAGGTGGGTAAGCACTAACTGCACAACCCTGTCATCCTGTGAATCACTCCACAACATGAAGTCACCTGGTGTCAGCTAAGGGGAAGTACAGGGCATAGGGCTGGGAAATGAGTTGATAGTTTGCTCCTAAATAGCAGCTATTGACAGGGCTTCTGTCATAGCCAAGATCTGTGAAATGAAGCCATTGTTTGGGAGAACTGGAAGATGAGAAAGGGTGAGCTGAGAGGAAGGAGGGCCCCAGTGCTCAGATGGGAAGAGCTCTGTAAGACCTGACCAGAGCACATAGGAGCTGCCTGCCTTTGCTTGGCAAAGAGGCCCAACAAGGTAGTGGGGAAAACTGTGGCAGAGGTGTAGCCCTGGAGACTGATAGTCAATGCTAGACTAAACTGGACATCATCTATTATCTGATGGCTGTGAACTGAATCTGGGGAGGGTGAAAGGATCTCTAGTCTGGGCCTAGGGTAGTTGGGGGCTAGTCCTACTGCCTACCTCTGTGATCTTGGGGGAAACATCCTTCAAGGCCTGCAGCAGGACATGAGTGAACAGGAAAGGGAGACAGAAGAGGATGAAGGCGTTACCTCAGACACAGCACCCATGCTACCCCGAAGAACGTCTGCTGATTACCACACCTCAGTCCCGGCACCTATCCTGGCCAACCGAGGCCTCAGGACCCTGGTGTTGTCCGGCCAGGCCCTTCTTGGGTTCCTGCTCCATCTGCTGTTACCTGGGACAGTCTTCCTACTGGTGTTGCTGCCAGCAGCTGCCATTGTCTACCTGGGATTCCTGTGCCACTCAAGGGTGAGCAGCATCCATTGGTTAGTCCCCGGGGAGTGAGAGTTCCGGGGAGGTTCAAGTCCTTGGGATTGAAGGTGAATCTACCCACTTCTAGCCCAGCCCCTTTGTAACCAGAGACATATGCATCCTTCTCTTTTGCCAACACTCCTACCAGCTGCAGCCAAAGAAAGAAAGGCTCTTTGTTACTCAGGGAACAGCTGTCTTGTCTCCCACCCCCACCCCAGGCCTCTTAGCTTTGTACCAGAAGGCACCAGAGCCTCTTCGTCGAGGTTGATGTGGAGATAGGAAAAGACTCACCTGACCTCAGTGCCTCTCCACGCCTCATACCCACACACTCATACCCACAGCCCTTCCCCGAACCCTATTGACCTTGGCTAGGCTTCCCCCAACTATGGCTTGATCTATACATAGATGGTCCCTATATCCCTTTCTGAAACGTATGGAAAGAAATGATGCTAGCTGGTGACAGTACAGATGGAGCTCAATATCAGCTGTCAACACAGGTAAGGGCCATGGAAGGAAGCACATATGGGGACAGGAAAACTGGGTTGGGAGAGCCAGGGAGGTTCTCTGGCCTTGGGCAACCACCAACTCTCTTGGTTCTGTTCTCACATTTCCATCCAGGCTCCACCTCCAGGCTTTTCAGCCCTACCCTTTTTTTTTTCTGGACTCTGCCTGAGCCCAGCTAGGTTCTCCAGGCCTCAGGCCCAGGTCCTCCCACACCACTACTCTACTCTAGTGCTTCCCTGTCTGACCGCACGTCTCTACTGTCCACAGGTTCACCCAGCTCCGGGTCCACGATGCCGAGCGCTGCTCTCAGACCGCGGCTCGGCGGCGCTCATTGTGTTTGGATTCCTCTCCTTGCCGCCACTTCTTGTGCTCGCCTCTGCCGCCCGCTCCCTCCTGGTCCGGCGACTACGCCCTGTACTGCCTACCCCCGCGAGGACCCCCGACCCGCGCCGCACGCTCAGGAGTAGCGAAGATCTGGCCGACGACCGCCCGGACGAGGAGAAACAACTTTGTGCTTGGGTCTGACACCTCAGAGGTCTCTCGGTGCCAAGAACCTCACAGTTCTCTTCCCTTGATCCCCAAGAAGTGGATGATGACTCGAATGGCTGCCTTGGGGCTCTGAGCGCAGTGCTCGAAGTCGCCAGGAGATGGCAACCGGGTCCCTCAGAAGAGGGAGAAAAGGTGTCCCTCTAAGGAAAGCGTTTGTCCTTCACCCCCTCCGTGGTCAGCAGCCAGCTTTGCCCCTCAAACCATGCATAATTCTAGAAACTCCAGTGGCTAAGTAGCAACCAGACTTCGTGGCTCATCTTGTGGGGTCAGCTGAGTCCTTCAAGGTCAGCCATGACCTTGTCCAGGACAAAGATCAGTTGGGTCCATGATCAAACTATTACCCGATCAGGTTTGAGACAGGATCTGGGATCAGTGATTCCGTGTAAGTGCAGGGTCAGCGTGTTGTTGCTGTTAGTATATAATTTATCTTTATTTTATGTGCACTGATGTTTTGCCTGCATGTGTGTCTATGTGAGGGTGTCACAAGCCCTGGAACTGGAGTTACAAACAGGTGTGAGCTGCAATGTGGGTTCTAGGACTTGAACCTGGGTCCTCTGAAAGAGTAGCCAGTGGTCTTCTAAAGGACCCAGAGCCATCTCTACAGCTCCTAGCACTCAGCTTGCATTTGGGGTCAGGTATCAATGTGTATCCAGAACTGGAGCTCATTCTCTGACCAGGGTTCTTTCTTTTGAGACAAGCAGCAGAGAAAGAGCTCATTTTACAATGTAATTTTAAGATTTGTCTTTGTATTTGTCATGCTATAGTTGTACTAACAAGTTCCTATGTATGCATAATTGTTATTCTCCTTCCCCTCCCTGTCTCCTATCTCCTCTTCTTCCTGGGCCTCATACATACCAGAACTAGAATATCTTATTTATTTTCATAGAATATCTTATTTATTTTTATTTTTAGTAGTCCTGAGATGGACTTATAAATGTTAGGCAAGCACTCTACCACTGAGCTATATCCTTAGCCATGGATATATCTTTAAAATTTAAATTATTTTAAAAATTGATTATTTTTGAATTTTACGTTGTCTATCTGTTTATTTTCTTTTTTTAAAGATTTATTTATTTTTATTTATATGAATACACTGCAGCCGTCTTCAGACACACACTAGTAGAGTGCTTCGGATCCCATTACAGATGGTTGTGAGCCACCATGCGCTTGCTGGGAATTGAACTCAGGACCTCTGGCAGGGCAGTCAGTGTTCTTAACTGCTGAGCCATCTCTCTAGCCCTATCTGTTTATTTTCAAATCAGAGTTTCTCTGTGTAGTCTTTGCTGTGCTGAAACTCACTCTGTAGACCAGGCTGGCCTTGAATTCACAGAGATCTACCTGCCTCTGCCTCCCGAGTGCTGGGATTAAAAGCATGTACCATTGCTCCACTTGTTTGTTTTTTTAATTATTTATTTTATTTAATGTGCATTGGTGGTTTTGCCTGCATTTATGTCTGTGTGAATGTGTCAGATCCCCTGGATTTATAGACAGTTGTGAGCTGCCATGTGGGTGATGGGAATTGAACCCTGGTCCTCTGAAAGAGCAGCCAGTGCTTTTAACCACTGAGCCATCTCTCTAGCCCTTTGGTCCTGATGTTTTGTCATAGCAATAGAAACCTAAGACAGGCACGGACTTTAGTAGTTTCACCCAGACAACAACAACAACAACAAATCAAACAAATAAACAAAAAAACCCAACAACAACAACCAATCGGCTTAGGTCCCCTTTGTGGTACTAGTTTATGGCCCCCAATACAGAATACTCACCCTTTCTCCTCTCCACATCCCAGCATGTCTCTCTGTCTTGTGTTCTGAAAGCTCTTTAGTTTCCTATCTGTTCCCATCAATACGCTGGTTGCTTCTTACTGTTTGTGCTATTACTTTTTTTTTTTTTTCAAAATAACTTTTCACTATGTAGCCCTTGGCTGTTCTAAAACTCGCTCCGTAGATTAGGCTGACCTTTAACTCAGAGATCTGCCTGCCTCTGCCTCCTGAGTGCTTGAATTAAAGGAGTATACCACAACTTTCCAGCTTGTTATTAGATTTTTTTGTGTGTGTGCACACGTATGGGTGTGCGTATGCCACAGTGTATGTGTGTGTGAGAGCCAGAGGACAACTTTTAGGAGTTGTGGGTCCCAGGGATAGAACTCAGGTTGTCAAGGTTGGTAACAAATGCCTTAACACCCTGAGTCATCTCTCTGGTCTGTTGGTTTAGGTTTTTGTAATGTTTAATTGTTGGGGGTAGGGGGAAGTTTGAGACATATTTTCTTGTAACCCCAGCAATATATTAAAAATGTGTTCATTATAATTTACCTGTAATCTAGTTGTAACAGACTTTTTTTTTTTTTTACTTTATCTTTTATGAATTTAACTAGGCTACTCTAGAACTCATGATCCTCCTGGCTCAACCTCCCATGTACTGGAATTATAGGCATATGCCACCATGCCCAGACCTAACTATTTTTTTTTTTAAAGGATCCAGCACACTGTTTTGCCAGTGTGGCTCAGCCAGGGTCAAAGCTCAGCCTAGACCAGGATTGAGTTAATTTTGTAGCCTCAAGCATAGATCAGTGTGTGGCTGAGTCGAGTCTATTGGGTGCCTTGTGTGTCTTGGGGTTTTCCAGCCTTCATCTGTGTCCAGCTTTGATTCCTTTCCTGATCAGACAGAATGACGGAGCCAGCTGGTCGCCAAACTGCCCAGGAGTGCTTCCTCTGGAATGAGGCTGCTTTCCTTCTGCTGGAGCTGATCCGGCCAACTCCAGAGGTTGAAGAAGACTCTCCTGGGAAGCTCTTGGCTGAGGATTGGATCTGCCTGGCCCCACAGTCATCAAAACAACAGCTGGGCCTGGTGGGGGTGGGGTGGTGACTGTAGAGATCAACTCCTAAGCTTCAGTGGCTGCTGGCTGGATGAGGAGCTCTGTCATAGCAGCTGCCTCAGACATTCCATTTCCGAAAGGTGTTTCCCAGCTTCCCAAGCCCATCTTGAGCCTTGGGTGTCCTCCAGGTGGCCCTGGGGATGTCCAAGGGAGAGCCACGGGATGACCTACTTCAGCCCAATCTTCCAGATTTTCTTTTTACCTTTCTTTCTTTCTTTCTTTCTTTCTTTCTTTCTTTCTTTCTTTCTTTCTTTCTTTCTGTCTCTCTCTCTCTCTCTCTCTCTCTCTTCCTTCCTTCCTTCCTTCCTTCTTTCTCTTCTTTCTTTCTTTCTTTCTTTCTTTCTTTCTTTTTTCCACGAGGGGGGATTTATTTAGGGAAAAGGGCAAAGGTGGGAGGAGAGAAGCAGAAGAAGATGGTGGAGAAAGAGAAGTAGAGGCCTGCCATGACCACGTGGAGAGAGGGGGAAGGGAAGGGGGGAAGGGCGAGGGGGCAGAGAGAAGCTAGAGGCAAGAGAATAAGAGCTCTTTCTTTCTTTCTTTTTTTCTGGACATGTTTTCTTTAATTTTTATTTATTTATTTATTTATTTATTTATTTATTTTATGTAAGTACACTGTAGCTGTCTTCAGACACCCCACAAGAGGGCTTCAGATATCATTACAGATGGTTGTTAGCCACCATGTGGTTGTTGGGATTTGAACTCATGACCTCTGGAAGATCAGTCAGTGCTCTTAACCACTGAGCCATCTCACCAACCCTGGACATGTTTTCAAAGGAACATTGTGTGCAGAGCATGGTGGTTTATATCTGCAATCTCAGCACTGGGGAAGCTGAGGCAGGAGACTTGCTATGAGTTTGAGGCCAGCCTGGGATACAAAATAAGACTGTCACAAGACAAAACACTGCTGTGCTGTGAATGGAGCTGGGTATAGCAGGGTATAGCTTGGTGTTTATGTGAGGCAGACATGACCTTGGTTCCATTCACAGCATCACACACACAAACACAAAAGGAATGCTGTGGAAATTGTGGGAGGTCTGTGAAAAGGGTCTGGGGTCTGTATTTAGCTGTGAAGGACAGAGATGTGCCAGCTGGTAGAATAAAGCCTACGTGCTGAAGAAACAAGCTAGCTCACCCTACAACCGGACACAGGTCTAGGGTCACCTTTCTTTTTCTTTTTCTTTTTTTTTTTTAGGTTTTTCAAGACAGGGTTTCTCTTGGAGCCCTGGCTGTTCTGGAACTCACTCTGTAGATCAGGCTGTCCTGGAACTCAGAAATCTGCCTGCCTCTGCCTCCCACATGCTGGGATTAAAGGCCACCGCCCGGCTTAGGGTCACCTTTCATTTCCACCACCATTGAACAGGACCAGAAAGGGGGATTTTGGACTGAAGGAAAGAGTAGGGCTGGATCTTGATTATCCCTGAGGTAATCACTGACCTGCCTAGCTTATTATCTCTTGCCTTGGCAGTACTGTGTCTGGATCCTACAAGGTTCTATCTCCTAACTCTTGCCTAGCACGAGCTCATGGCAGAAACCTTTAGAACCTAGGATTCTCAAATCCAGACTCTAGCCTGAAAGTTCAGAGCACCCTAATTCTTCTAAGAGTCTCTGTCTCCTACCTCCTCACCAGCTCCTCAGACCTGCAGATTTAAGCTTCAAGGTGTGCCAGGCAAGACCTCCACTTAGGGGATGTAAGCTTCTTTCCCAGTAACTCAGAGCCTGCCTTATAAAAAGAAACCTGACTAATGTAGGCATGTATGTAAGGCTATGTCCTGTCTGTACTCCTCTCATGCTTTGAGTCAGAGCATCATCATAGGTAAAGAGACTGGGCTCAGTGAGATTTCCACTCTACTTAATCCATTCATTCACAAAGTATTTGCAGGCATGTCCACAGACAGCACCTGCCAGGAGAGGCCCTGGGTTTAGCCAGCCTTATCCATCCAGCTTCAAGTCTGGGCTTAAGCTCTAGAAGGCTAGAGATAGCTTCCCAGGTATGTGGGTTGGGGCTCTAGTAGAGGGAGGAACTGAGTGGGGGGGACCTGGGGGGGAACCTGGGGGGTGGGTGGTAGTGGAGTGTTGAGTAGGAAGAACTGGTGTTGTCCCTGAGAGCAGAGGCTACACCTCCTGAATCTCTCAGGTCCCCACTATTGGAACACTCCCCTTCAAGACTACCTGGGCCTTCCTTGGGGCTGGGATAGGGAACTTAGATCAGATCACCTCTTACAGAACCATTCCAGCCAGGACCCAAAGCTGAGGATCCCACATCAGGATAAAGCATTACTAGTCAGCTATTGGCATATTTTGGTGCTTGTAGTCTATCTCTGATGGTTGCTTTCCTAGAAGCATGGAGTCAGCCATCCTTGCCTCACCGCAATCTTTTCCAAGAGTCTCCTAGTACTCAGAATCCCATCAGCCCCCTGTGGTCTGAGGGCTACAGAGCATGGCTGGCTGCCTCTGTCCCAGCCCAAGCATCCTGCCATACACATGCAGTCTTACCCACAGCCCTTCCAGTCTTGGCATTTGCTGTTGCATCTGCTTGTGAAGCCTTTCCTTCTCAGAACTCCTACCACAGGATCCCTACCGATTCTCTGGTCTTACACAGTTAAACCTTTTTTTAGGGAAATTAGTAGCCGTGTGTATTCCTTACTTTTGTATAGCTGTGACCACCATAAGACAACTGTCAGGAACAATGTAGACAGAGTTCTCTAGATTAGCCTGGTCTACAGAGTGAGTTCCAGGACAACCAGAGCTACACCACCACCACCACCACCACCACCACCACCACCACCACCACCACCAAAAAAAAAAAAAAAAAAATAAAAAAAAAATTTGCTTTGCTTTTAGCTCAAGGTCTCACAGTGTTTCAGTCCAACATGGTGGGGAAGGTAACAGCAACTCAGACCATAGCAATGGAATGATCTCAAAGACCTGTCCGTAGTGTTATTTTGACCAGTTAGGCACAACACTCACTACAGGTTCACAGACTCCTATGGTTTCATGGATTCCCAAAACTACCACTAGCTAGGGAGTGAGTGTTGAAAGCATGAGTCTAGGGGGAGCATTTTAGATTCAAATCATAACACCCTGCATCTTTGCTAGCATAGGGTGTTCTTGCTCAGTCCTTATCTGGCAGTGCTGTGAGGACAGGCCTTGGCCCAGTGCCTGTGACTTCTGTGCAGAGATTTAGGTGATGGACACTGGGTAAATACAGGGAAGGCTTGCGCTCATCCCATGCTCAGGCTGTTTACCAAGCCATTTTTTGTCTTCCTTGCTACTCTTGCCGAAAGGAAAGTGGGTTTGGGTCAGTTCTGGACCCCGATGATGAAAAAGAACCCTAGATCTCCAGACCCAATTCTCAGGCTCTGGCACTTACCTCACCAAAGCTGGTCTAGAAGAAAGTGTAATAGACAGCAGGAGGGAACTAAGAGCCCTGCTGCTCTGGGCTGCACCCTGAATGCTGTGAGATGGGACCATAGGGACCAGGCTCATCCCATTCACTGTCCAGGCCTCTAAAAGCTACCCCCAACATTTCTCGTTTCTGTGTTCTGGAATGTTCTTGGGTTTTCATGTGAGATATAAACAACAGGACAAGCTGGACGGTGGTGGCGTATGCCTTTAATCTCATACTTTCAACCTTAGCACACAGGAAGCAGAGACAGGCAGATCTCTGTGAGTTCAGGGTCAGCCTAGTCTATAGAGTGAGTTCCAGGACAGCCAGAGCCACACAGAGAAACTCTGTCTCAAAAGAGAAAGAGAGAGAGAGAGAGAGAATAAAAGACAAAAGAAAAATGACATTTTTAGGACATTTCAGCCTGGTGGAAGTGGGAGAAATTTCCCTACTGGCAATCATCCTAGTAAGCTTTAACTTGATAGAGCCCAGTGTTATCTGAAAAGGAAGTCTCGATTGAGGGATGCTCAGATCAAGCTGGTCTGTGGGCATGTCTGTGGGGGATTGTTTTGTGCGTAATTAATGTAGGAGGACCCAGCCCACTATGGACTGTTCCATTGCCTCAGCAAGTGGTCCTGAGTTGTATAAGAAAGCTAGCTAAGCATGAGTCAATGAGCAAGCCAGCAGTGTTCCTCCATGAAAAACAACAACAAAACCAGCAGGACAAACGGCAGCTCACAGTTAGGATGGAGGGGCAGGGGCAGGGCAGGCAGCTCTGTCCTCATCTGAGGTCAAGGGTCAGGTCAGAGGCCCCAGGAGCTGCCCTTTTCCCTGGGGTTGAACATGACCACAGCCATCTGTAGACAAAAGGCCCTTCTTCTCTGCAGAAGCCTGACTGTGGGAGGAAAGGAACATTCCCTTGGTCCTTGGTTGGAAGCAGGGCACTCTGCTAAGAGCAGTGTCTCTAGGTTTCAGGAAACCCCTCCGCCTACCTGCAGACAGACAGGGCATGCCAGCTCCTCCAGGAAGTGAGGCATAGGGCCTCCCTGTGCTGAGCTAAAGCATTGGCAGGGTGTGGAGGGGAGGGGTGGGGAAGCCAGTCCCTGAGGAAGCTCTTGGGTTCCTAGATTGACAGGAACAAGCAGGGGAAGTCCCTAGAGGCTGGGGACTGGGGGGTCAAGGTCACCCTGGCCTGGCACATCTTTGCCTGTGAACACATTTCTGCTCTTTCCCCTCCCATGAGCCTGTCTTCCAAGACTATTGTGTCTGTGCTTCCTCTGGTGTCTGCCTCAAGCCCAGACCTGACCCTGACCATTGCACCCCAGGGAAGTCCCATACCCCTTATGATGTCTGTGTGTCTTCTGAAGGTGGGGAGCACTGCAAGACAATAGCATAAGATTTTTTTCTGGTGGGTGAGCAGGGGGTATGGATGATGGGAAGCGTGTCCCAAGGAATTTGGCAGCAGAAGCAGCTTGGCCTGAGTCCAAGTCAGGCAGGTAGCCCAGGTTGAATAGGGCTTGGTGGAGACTGGGTTTCTTGTGCCCTCTCCATCTGACAGTGAGGCCAAAGGAGAGAGCTACTTCCCCGAGTCACAGCCAAGAAGACCTGATCATTTTTTCCAGAAGGGTTGGAAACAGGGCAGGCTGAGGTATGACTGTAGACTTGAGGGCTATGAACTCTCTCTTTCCTCTAAGACCCAGCTCCCTGGAAGAGCAAGCAAGTAAGATGATTCTTCTAGATACTCCATGTCCTCTGCTTGTTCACAGTGCAACAATGTATCTGGAGCTGGAGGTTGTTGATGTCCCCTGGGTGGCACAGTCTTTGAGGGACTCAGATGCACTGCTCTCATCCTCAAGACTCAGGCAGAAGCATCAAGAACTTTCTGGTCCATTCAGAGGCCTGAGGTCTGTGGAGCAAAGCCAACACTCAGTGCCAAGATTCCCGGCAAGGGGGTGGGGGACGGCAGCAGGACATAGCTCTTACTTGTTCCTGCAGCAAGCTTCTCAGGCTCAGCCGTATTGCTTCCTTTTTTAGGCAAAGCCAAGCTCAGGCACAGTCCTCAAGGCCCCACAGTGTCTCACCTGCCAGAAATGGAGGAAGTAAAACCATTGAGTCCCATCCGTCCTCCCTGCTGAGCATCCTCTTACTGAGAGTGGGAAGGGAGGAGACATCCTGCCAGACAATACCCCCTCCCATGTGTGCCTCCACCCCAAATACTATAATTATTTACAGGAAAGCATCTTAAGAGAGCAGCGGTCTGTGCGGCCCCCCTGAAGGGCTCAGTGTTCTGTGAACAACACTTGTAGACAGCTTCCTTTGGTCTGGGCTTGGCACTGACTGTGGGCTCAGCTTTAGATTGCCAATGGGTCTCTGGTCCTGCTGGGGTCTGACCTGGGTGTAATCTTGGGCCCCATTTGGGTAGTGTATAGGACAGCAATAGGCCACCATGGTCACACTGGGTAGGATCTGATTCCCTGACTTCCACTTATGTCTTTTCCTCCAAGAATTCAGGTGAGAGTTCTGGTAAGGTGGGGGCTTTTCATTCTGTAAAAAGCTTCTCATGTGTTACTGTCTCCTCTGAAGGCAGTGTCCTTGTTGGTCAGTCCTTGGAGAAAACTGGCTGCTCCTCCAGTTTATACCCAAGCCAGGTCCTTGTTGAGAGAAAGTTGTTTCTTTGTATAGCCCCACTTCTAAGGTTCTTTTGTCTTTCTTGTAAGGCTCTTCTGTCTTAAGGAGCTTTGCAGATCAGGAACTCCGGGGGAACTCTAAGGGGTAGCGGAAGAGGAGAGGGGTGGAGAATATGGACAACACATTATCTCAGCCTGCAAAAGAGATGGGAATGTTTGTCAGCGCATGCCCACACCTATGTGCCTTTATGGCTGCTGCGTGTCACCGCAAGTCTGGGACCGCTATGGCATGCATCACCGTGCAGTCTGTGCAGATTGGCCTTTGAGCGCGCGACTGAGTGCACGCGCCACCCAAGCAGGGCGTGGCCTCTAGTGGGTGTGGCTTCTCAGAGGTGGGTGGGGCCTGGCTCACCGTAGGAGGGCAAGTCAGCTGCCAGCTGTGGTCGGTCAAGAGCCCGCCACTCCAGGCGCGATGCTGTTCTGGACTGCGCTCAGCATGGCTTTGAGTCTGCGGCTAGCACTGGCGCGGAGCGGCGTAGAGCGCGGTAAGTGTGGTGAAACGCGGATTCCAGTTCCTCACAGCCCATCGGCTGCTCCCCACGCGGGTCATGAACTGTCCAGGTGCAGCCGCCGGACGAGTGGGTGGGAAGGCCGAGGGAGCTGGTGGGGCACACGCCAGCACCTCAGCCACCTGCGGTGGGCGCTCTAAGGCATTCTTGGTGACTCAACTGTGCTAGAGCTGGACTTGGAGCGCTGAGGCCACGGTATCCCCGGTCCTGCCCCGCCCCGCCCCGCCCGCCCCGCCCCTCAGGCCTGGATTGTGGAGAAAGATGTCTGAGAGGCCTCCCTGACTCAGTTTCCTTACCTCTGAAAGGTCCCTCAGTAGAAAGGGGGTAAGAATATTGAAATGGTCCCACCATGAGGGGGAAACCCCAAAGCCAGGACTAGATCCAGGCACTTGAGAGCTGCTGCCTATTTGAGATTTAGTGATGGAAGGTCTCATCAATATCTCAGCTGGCTGGACAGGAAGAAACGGGGATAAAGCGGGAGGCTCACCAGACAGTGGTTCCTTCCTCAGGGTGCTGCGCGTGGGTATATCATGCTTTCTTGGTACAGATGAAGCAGAGGATGGGGGGCCAGAGGAGGGGAGGGGTGATGTCATCTGTAACCGGCCAGGGCTTCAGCCTGGGTAGGAAGGGCAGGCTGTTCAGTGTGTGGTCTTCCCCATCTCTTCACTTTTGCTCTCCCATCCTTTCCTGCTGTTCCATCACCTGGAAGCAGAGTTACCTAGCTTTAACTTCATCCCGGAGGTGGCCCTTCTGAAAATCAACTGTAAAGAGAACATTGCATATGGTTCAGGTCCCTCCTGAAAGGCTATACAGATTGTTCTACCTGCATGCAGTGTCTATTTATTGAGGACAAGTGTCAGTATTTCCCTACAGAAGAAACACGAGGACAGCACAGGATGCCCTGGGTACATGGGCATTGTACAGTTGGGAACCAGATGAGAGTGTGGGCCTTTTGTTGGCTTATAGCCCCATTCTGAGGATTCTCTATCAGTATTTTTGGGCAAAGGCAAGCATGTGCTTAAAGAAAGTTCAGGCCTTTGTGGGTGGTTCTGCCCTGGGCATGGGGTTGTCTGGCAGAGCTACCTGGACTGAACTCCTTGTCTTTTCCTCTAGGTCCCACAGCATCAGTCCCCCAGGGGGACTTGTTGTTCCTGCTGGACAGCTCAGCCAGCGTGTCACACTATGAGTTTTCAAGAGTTCGAGAATTTGTGGGGCAGCTGGTGGCAACCATGCCTTTTGGACCTGGGGCTCTGCGTGCTAGTCTGGTGCATGTGGGCAGCCAGCCTCACACAGAATTTACTTTCGACCAATACAGTTCAGGCCAGGCTATACAGGATGCCATACGTGTTGCACCCCAACGTATGGGTGATACCAACACAGGCCTGGCACTGGCTTATGCCAAAGAACAATTGTTTGCTGAGGATGCAGGTGCCCGGCCAGGGGTTCCCAAGGTACTGGTGTGGGTGACAGATGGGGCTTCTAGTGATCCTGTGGGCCCCCCTATGCAGGAGCTCAAGGACCTGGGTGTCACCATCTTCATTGTCAGCACTGGCCGAGGCAACCTGTTGGAGCTGTTGGCAGCTGCCTCGGCTCCTGCTGAGAAGCACCTACACTTTGTGGATGTGGATGACCTTCCAATCATTGCCCAGGAGCTTCGGGGCTCCATTACTGGTAGGTGGGAAGAGACAGGACCTGTGAATCCCTAGCTGGCAGTTTGCTGCAGGGGGAGGATCTGGGTGGAGTCCAGGGAGAGCTCATGAGCTTGGTGCCCTTGAGTATGTGACAGTGGGGAGGTGGCTCACTTGTTCTCTGCATACTGTCCAGGGAAGTACTCCTTCTGGGTTGCTGCATGTACCTGATTCCTGGGCTATAGAGAGACTGTGGCAGGTCTGAGTAAACACTTCAAGATGGGACTCCCAGCCCAATGAACTGAGGGCTACTTTGCGTGGGTTGTGTGTGGAGGGGCTAAGTACAGAGGATAAAGGAGGTCCATGCTCCTCCAGGGGTCTCTGCCTATGGCATCATGTGCCTTTGTGTCTATCCAGGGACTGAAGGGCTTATCAGGCACACTATTCCTGGAGAAATGACCAAATAGGTCAGTTTGTCCCCTACAGAGCTCGGGCCCTACCTATTCCATGTTAGGGAGTCACAGTCAGGGAGGGGTTTGAGGTGGTTTTCACTCCGGTCTATTGTGGGGTCTGCTGGGGAAGCCAGAACAAGGAAGACCCACTGTAGGACCTAAGCACCTGCCTTCTTCTGGATCTCCTATAGGAGAAGGAAGTGGCTAGTGACTAAGGGCCTGGTGTTTAACTTAGCCTGTGGAGGGCACTGAAGAATGCTCTCACTCCAAGGTAGCATTCTTACCAAGTCTCTTACTACAGGTTAATCATCTACACTAAAGAGGAAGGTGTGGGTCTATGGGTTGAGAAAGGGTGAAAGGTCTGCCTCAAGAGATCTCCTAAGGACATCTCCTGGTAGACCCTGGGCCAGTAGGCCCAGATGAACCTGGAGAGGGCAGAAGGAGAAAAGGGTATCACCAGAGGTAAACATTAGGGTGGGGACATCTGTAACTAAGGTCAGAATCTAACTGGGAGGCTGGGTGGGAAAGTGAGTGCTCAGCTGACTGAACTTAGCACCCAGCATCACCAAGAAAGTCCAGATCTGGATGGCGTACCCAGACTCACCTGCATGTTGCTCATGTGCTGGTTGTCACTGCACAGAAGCCCATTCTGGAATCCCCATCCCACTCTCCTGTAGGAAGGTCCCACACTCTCCTCACTCTTAGGTCCAGCTGCTTCTGGTTTCTGTCACATTTTTATTACTCCAGTGGCCATTAACATGTAGTCTCCTATCTCCTGGCTGCAGCTTCTGGTCTGTTTCCCTCCTCCACAACTGTTTAGAATATATCTGTCTCACAACAAATTTTGTGCTGGCCACACAGTCTTGGAGGACTGGTCCTCTGTTCTTAGATAATATTGTGAGCGTTGCCAGCTTTGAGGGCCCTTCATGCAAGTTGTTTGAGTGAGTGTTAGGAGTAGCTACTGTATCTTATAAGTCTGGGTTTGGGGTGAAGTAGGCAGGAAAGTCTATGATGGGGCCCAGAGTAGGGGATTGTACTCCTCTCTGTCCTTCCACCAGCCCAGTCAGAGTTTTGTAGTCATTAGCATCTACTGGTGGTGAATACCTACTTGGCTCCTGCCTCTCCTTGGCAGAAGGCCTCACCTATTCTATTGGGGCTCCAATCTTTCGGGTCCTCTCCAGATCAGTGAGAGCCCCATTCGGTGACACGGCCACTTCTGCTCCCTGACCCCAGCACTACACCACCCTTAGATGCGATGCAGCCACAACAGTTTCATGTCTCGGAGGTTCTGTCCAATGGTTTCCGCCTGTCCTGGCCGCCCCTGCTGACAGCAGACACTGGTTACTACGTGCTGGAGTTGGTGCCCAGCGACAAACTGGTAACCACAAGACGCCAACAGCTGCCTGGGAATGCTACCAGCTGGACCTGGACCGATCTCAACCCGGACACAGATTATGAAGTATCGCTTCTGCCGGAGTCCAACGTGCGCCTCCTCAGGCCACAGCACCTGCGAGTACGCACACTGCAAGGTGAGGCAAGAGTACCTTATGGGAGGGCAGGGTAGCATGAGAAGGACACTCTTCCACTCAACCATCCTCTTCCTTCACAGAGGAGGTCGGGCCAGAACGTATCGTCATCTCGCATACTAGGCCGCGCAGCCTCCGCGTAAGTTGGGCCCCCGCGCTTGGCCCGGAATCCACTCTCGGGTACCATGTACAGCTCGGACCTCTGCAGGACGGCTCTCTAGAGCGCGTGGAGGTGCCAGCAGGCCAGAACAGCACTACTATCCACGGCCTGACGCCCTGCACCACTTACTTGGTAACTGTGACTGCCGCCTTCCGCTCTGGACGCCAGAGGGCGCTGTCGGCTAAGGCCTGTACGGCCTCTGGCGAGCGGACCCGTGTTCCATAGTCCATGCAGCAGGAGGCCGGACCGCAGGAGCCCTGAACTGCCTGCCTCGTCCACTCTAGGGGCCCTCTTCCCTAGCCCAGTGAGAGAGGCACTGCTGCTCGTGTTTTTTTCTTGTGGATAGAGTGGGGTGGGGAGATGGGATGCCTGTCCTGCCTTTGACCCTCTTGTCGTTTCCCCACTGGTCATTACCGCCCTTGCCCGACTCCCGGGGAAACCTGTGGCAACCCTGGTAGCCTCACGCGCAATGGCAATTCTCTCCGGTTGCCAGTGGAGTTGAGCACACCGTGGTCCTTGGGCAACATTTGGCGAGGGGATGAACAGTGTCTGAGGTCAGGTTGAGTACTTAAGACTCCGGACAAGCATTCAGGAGAGGAGGCCACAGAGTTTCCTACCTGTGCCAAAGGCTGGGCCCTCTGGTGCAATGACTACACGTGGCTTGGAGGAGATGTCCAGGACCATTCAGGTTCTGCCTGTGCCTAGAAAGTGGGTAGGAGAAAGGGAGGAGAGAGTAGTGTAGGCAGGGTTCACAAAGACTTCCTTAAGGAAAGGAAAGTTAGGGAGGGATACTGGGAGGCTGATGATGTTGCCAATTAGTTTTCATCAAGATTTCCTGCCAGCCTGGAGGCCAGGATTTGTCAGGTCATTGACTCTGCCTTCCTGCCCAGGACCTGCATTGGGCCCTGCTATCAGTGCCAGGGATGAAGAGTCTTTTCACAGGAATGGGATGAGACCTTGACATTTAGTACTTTAGCCGTTCTCTGACAGACTCTAAGGGATCCTCCTGCTTTAGCGTGAGGAGCAAGGTGTCATGCAGGTGGGCTACCCCAGTCATCACTACTACCCTGCGGCATCTGACAGATACCTCAGGGTGGTCAGGAACAGGCTTCCTCTCAAGTCCCTATGTCCTCCCAGAATCATTTGCCCTAACCCAAGCTTACGTCATTTCTATTCCCCACTAATGACCCAGACTCTAAGGACAATACAGTAAGCCAGACATAAACTGTGCCTGCAGTCTCATTAAAATGCTTTATTTTTCATCAAAACTCTCCCCAGCTGTGTACTTGTGTGGGTAGCATGAAAGGTTGGGTGTGCGGGGTTTGTTATGTCTGGGGAGGAAGGGAGGTAGGTCTGCAGCGTCTGTACACTGATCATTGAGCCTTCTGTCCTTCCGTGTTCCCTGCCAGCTTCGTACCAGGGCCTCACGTCTGCAGCTGGAGATCCAGGGTTTGGAGTAGGTCAAGTTGCTGCTGCTACAACTCAGAGGACTGGAGGCTTTACAGGGGTGTCCCCACCACAGCCTGTGCTCTACTGCACACTGCTCGGCCCTCTGCTTACACTACTTTGGCTACTAGTGAGATCCAGTAGCTGAGTATTGAGAGAGGTGGGGTAGACTTTTGGGTATGGATTGAGCAGAGGTGGCCTTCCTGAGAACTTGCCTACTACCATTTCCCAAGAACCTGATGGAGCACTGTAGGGCTCATCCTGGACACCCAAAGGAGCACTGGCCATACACTGAATGTGTTGTGCATTTGTGGGAGGTGGCTGATTTTGTGATGCTGGCTTGAGATACAAGGCCCTACCCAGCCTGCGGATGGAGCAGAATCCCCTGGGGTATATGTGTTTGGGAGTGGGATCCCCTCTTCTTGCTTCCTTGTCAGGGCAGGAAGCCTATGTGTGCACCTACAGGTTTCATGTCCACTCCTTTACCTATTGATCATTAGTTGGCTATGGAGCTCAGAGATTTCCTGTGACCTCAGTTACCAGTCCAGAGTCTGAGGCTATCTGTATCCAGCACAGATTTAGGTTTGGCATACTGGCCCCACATTCCCCTAAAATATGGAAGTTCCTCCAGGCAATTTGTGTTTCCCATTCTGTTTCCTGAGATGACTATAGGTCAAGGTCTACTGGCCGCTGGAGAGAGCCACACTGAGTCCCTAGGCCTGACATACACAACACTAGGCAGGTGGCAGAAGAGTACCAGAGGGTCATTATTAGTGTTTATGATAGCTTCTGTTAATGGCTAAAATTCATGAAAATCTGAGAGACCTACTATCCTGAGAAAGTAGAATGGGCAGAAGAGACATAGCTGATGGTTGGAGTCCACTTTCAGACAAATCCTTGGCACAAGCTCATCTTGACCTAACACCAGCACCATCTATTTTCAGGTGGTAGAGGTGAACGCCTGCACTCCCACTGAGATAACACAGGATGCTTCTACTACGGTCCTCATCCCTGAGGAGCTGCCCTCACATGATCCCAGGCACATCTTAAATCTCTAAATTTAGTATATATTTTAGGGGGGGTGGAAGTTGGGGGGGCAGGTGAGTTTGAGACAGGTTTCTCTGTGTAGCCCTAGCTGTCCTGGAACTCGCTTTGTAGACCAGGTTGATCTTGAACTCTGAGATTCACCTGCCTCTGCCTCTTGAGGGCTGGGATCAAAGCCATGCACCACCACTTCCCAGTTATCTCTGAATTTAGTAAATACTTCAGATTAGTGCAGGCCCTGAGGAAGTCTACAGGAAACAGGGTTTAAACTTCATTTGCCAGGCATTGTGTGACAAGCATCTTTGTCTGCTGAGGAAACAATTTAGTGGGATAAGATTTCCTATGAGTTGTTTGCCACACAAATGCCTCCTGCCCATGTGATTCCTCTGGCCCCAACTCTATTCTCTCAGTGTCTAAGGTAATAAGCAGTGGCAGATGCCATCCAAAGCTTAACATACATGGAAGGAATGGCCGCTCTGCTTCTCAGTGTGTACCAAAATACTATTCTGCGGTTGTTCCTGGTTAAGATCCATGCAAAATATTAAGCATACAGGAAGCTGGTGGGGCTGGACTGAGAATATCCTGGATACTATGAGGAGACCTCAAGGGGAGGCTGCTGCAAGTGCTGGTGCCCATGTCCTTGTGACCATGCAGAGGGTTCACACTGAAGAGAGTAGTTAGTGATGAAGGTCTTTGCTCTCTAGCTTTTGATGTCCTTGGGATGAAGCTTTTTTTTTAATGAGAAGTCAGGTGGTGGGGCAGTCTGGAGTCTAGGTCTCCAGGAAGTGGGATGTTCAAGAGTGGCTGGGCACTCAAGGACTACTCAATATAGCTACTGCCACCTTGGAACTGAACAGAATCTACAGTAACAGTAATAAAGGTTATTAAACCCCCAGAAATGTAGCCTTGAAGATAGCCTCCTGCTGGGGAGGTTGGATAGGACAGAAACCCTGAAACTCAGATGCAATAACTGTGTCTTTCCTGCTGGTTTTTTACTGGGATGAAGTGATCTCTCATTGGGGGAATAAAAAAAGTACTCTCTGGGTAGTGATGGTGCACACCTTTAATCCCAGCACTTGGGAGGCAGAGGCAGGTAGATCTCTTGACTTTGAGGCCAGCCTGGTCTACAGAGCAAGTTCCAGGACAGCAGGGACTATATAGAGAAGCTCTGTCTCAAAACAAAGGGAGAGGAACTGGAGAGATAGCTCAATGGTTAAGAGCACTTAACCTGCCTTTTCTGGGTTCAATTCCAAGCACCCACATGGTAGCTCAGAGTTGCCTCTAATTCCAGTTCCAGGGGATCCAACAGACATATACAGGCAAAACATCAATGCACATACAATAAAAACAAATAATCTAAAAGAGAGAATATTTCATTAAAAACAAAAAGGTTCTTGCTTTGGCAGGACAATTGGAATAATATGGAGAAGATTAGCATGACACACAAATTCATGAAGCACTCTGTGTTTTTAAAATAAATAAAAATGAAGGGGTTGGAGAGATGGCTCAGAGCTGGTAAGAGTATCAAAGTATGGTTCTGAGTACCCACATTGGGCAGCTCACAATCAATGACTCCAGCTCCAGTGGAATCAAAAGTCTCTGCCCTCTGGGCACCTGCATTCATCTGTACATACCCACATAAAGATATATACACTTATGCATAATTAAAAAGAAAACTAATCTGGGGCGGGAGAAACGGCTCAGCAGTCAAGAGCATTTGTTGCTTTTGGCAAGTACATTTGACGCCTCTTCCGGACACCTTGGTACCTGTGTGCACATAGTACATACCAAACACTAACACATACACATAATATGTGTGTGTAAAATAAAAATAAAACCAGAATTTTATTTTAAAAAAACGTATTTACTTTTGAGACAGGGTCTCTCTATGTAGTCATGGCTGTCTTGAAGCTCTAATATGTAGACCAGTCTGACCTAAAATTTACAGAGATCCAACAACCTCTACCTTCCAGTGCAGGGATTAATGACGTGTGCCACCATGCCTAGCTTAAAATTTTCTTTAAGGGGCTGGAGAGATGGCTCAGCAGATAAGAGCACTGACTGCTCTTCCAGAGGTCCTGAGTTCAATTCCCAGCAACCACATGGTGGCTCACAACCATCTGTAACAGGATCTGATGCCCTCTTCTGTTGTGTCTAAAAGACAGCAGACAGTTACAGTGTACTCATATAAATAAAATAAATAAATCTTTTAAAAAAATCTTTAAGAAAAAGAAATCAATGTCATATCCTCCCTTGGAGGACAGTGTGGTGAGACAGGGGACCAGACAAACTGCAAATGGTCCCAGTTTCAGGTGGGAGCAGGACCCAGGTGAGACAAGGTGTTGTGGGAGGTGTGAAGTCTCTGGGCAGAAATAGGGGAAGAATAATTACCAAGTCTTCCTATCACAAATGCCAGTTAGCCCATTGCAATTAAATATGGTCTTGCAACCAGAGAGCTTTTAAAAGAAGGAGCTATCAGGTGTGGAGAGAATCTCTTGTGTGGAAGCATCACCTGTCAATAAAAACCTGAGGACCTTTTAGCTAAGACAGGAAATAGAAGGTGCTGGGAGGTCAGGCAGGGAGAGAGGCACTCTGGGATAGAGTCAGGAGCAGGAAGAGATTCAACCTGAACTCTGAGCAGACAGACACATCAAACTGGGACGAGGTAACCAGCCATGTGGCACACATAGAATACAATAATAATTTATAAACTAGTTGGGGAATAAGCCAAAGTTTATGTCCTAGACATTTATTCATAGATAATTAAGTCTCAGAGACATTCTACATTTTATATAAGACTGTAAGGTAGAATCAGCTGCTCAGAGAGGCTATAATTCTGTTCTTTTTTTTTTAATTGGATATTTTATTTACATTTCATATGTATTCTGTTCTTTTCAATCAATCTCACTGCTATCTGAAACAGGGTCTTGCCAATCGGCCCAGACTTGTCTCATTTTCTTTTCTCCTCTTTCTTTTCTTCTTTTTATCAGAGCAAAGTCTTGCTATATTGCTCAGGCTAAACCTAACTCCTGGGCTCAAGTGGTCTTCCCACCTGCATCAGCCTAATACTTCAAAAATATGTTTAATTTTAACTGTGTTCATGTCTTGTATGGGTACATGTATCTGTGAGTTGAGAGGCTTCAGAGAGGAGTTATAGACAGCAGGGAGAAGCTTGATGTTGTTGCTGGGAATCAAACTCAAGTCCCTAGAAGAGCAGTACATAATCTTCTTAGCCACGAAGCTATTCTCCAGCTCCATGCTTTTTTAAAAAAATTGAAAAATAGTCAAGATCCAAAATTTTATAAAGGTTATGTGCTTCTCAAATGCAGCAAGAGACTGAAAGGTGTGTGGCTTTAAAAGCTCTGACCCATCTTCCTTACCCATATAAGCTCAAAGGCAACTGTTATGAGAGATGTGGTTTGTGCATTACAAAAACAAAAAAAAACTTTATGGCCATTGAGTGATGTCTGGCTATTGCTGAGAAATTCATTTGGTTTTGTTGGGGAACAGGGATTACAGGTAGCATAATCTTAGAATTTAAATTTAAGACAAACTGTGGTGGCTTACACTTTTAATCCCAGCACTTGGGATGCAGCCGATTTCTGAGTTCCAGGACAGTCTGATCTGCAACTTAACTTCCAGGAGAGCCAGAGCTCAAAGAAACCTTGTATCAAAAAACATACAATGTTTGGAGGGTATAAGTAGGAATGGAAGACAGTAAGCAGAGCTAGGCTTGCTTACAGAGTTAGCTGTACTTGTCTTTGCTGATCTT